ATCCTAATACTAGCTCGAACCCTAACCCTAACTAATAATAAATTAAATTTTTTTAAAAAATATATACGTATTAACCTCAACCTGCTAAATTTAACAAAACTCTTATTTTAAATATAATAATAAATTTCTGAAACGAAACTTTCTATTTGAAAAAGTATTTTAAAATTACTTTCAAGTTATTTTTTTCTTTGCCATTTCAAACAGTCGCTATATACTAAACTAACACTACTTAAATTAGAGATTATTAACGATTAATTTTAAAAGCAGTTTTAACCGATTTATTCGTTTTTTTTTAGACACGAGTTCTAAAAAAATTCTCTAAAGCATATAAATAAGTTACCCGGGCAATTGATCTACATCAGCCAATCAAACGAATTTCGTTCTATGAGGGTACTAAACAGATCGCATCATTAGTACAAGTGTTCTTAGGATTTTATGGTTAGAGTGTAAGTTTATATAAAGAAATTCCAAAACCACTTAAATTCCGTTCCCACTTACAACATCACTGCGCATGGATTATGTACGTACGTACGTACGTACGTTATTATACGCACCTACCAGTGTGGTACAATACTTAGATCTAAAGAATTAAACGGCTGTAAAACAACCCTTGATCATTCTTTGTTCATAGTTTGCGGTTAAGTGACTTGTAAGATGTTTGACTAATTAAAGGATTTTTTTTTCCCACATTAATCAATTCAAAATTGTTTGACTTAATTATAATTTTTTAAAAAAAGGATTCTATACCGATACGATATGGTTTAAATATTTACGTTATAATTTGTCCAAGTTCGGCTAGCGCTTGTTTTATTTTTAGCATTTAATACGCATGTAGACAATTAGTGTTAAGCTGATTAAACTGCAAGTAAACATCGCACAAGTCAAATAATTATGTTGTAAGTGGGAACGGAATTTAAGTGGAATTTCATTTTAGGGTTGAATTTATTTTATATAAACCTACACCTACGTAACCATAAAAATCCTAACGCTAAGAAAATTCCAAATCCACTTAAACTCCATTCTCACTTACAACAAACATATGTACTACCCATTTTAATCTAGATTTTCCTACAAATCAAATTGTGTTATGTACGTACGTACGTATGTAATACGTATTTAACATAACTACTCAGTCTTCCGATCTTGTATACGTATTATCTGTTGTCGCAAATTATAATGAAAATCGGATTAAAATGAAATAAGGGGTTTCTACTTGTCCCCCCCTAAATCCTACTTATACTTGTTTATTATAAAACCTACCCCTAAACACTAATCCTAACCCTAAAAAAAATGCTAAAAAGTGCACCCCAAAAATTTGTATTTTCTGATTTCATTTTAATCCGTCACATAAATTACGGATTTTAGAAATTGGCAAATTCAGTATTTGAAATAGACTAAATTATAATTAAATATATATGTATCATATAAATAGTCGGAATGAAATAAATTTAGCCCTTTTCAATTCTAAGTGATTCAGAATAATTCTCAATTTAAGGCCATGTGAAATATCTATCACCTGTTAAATTATAAATGAATATTTAGACAAAATTTATATAGTTTACAATTCTTTCCAATCTGACTTACCAAAATCACCTAATCCAGGTATAATATATTTCTTCTCATCTAATCCTTGATCAATGAATGCAGTTATAATCTTAAGTTTTGAAAACTTTGAAGTAACAGCTTGAATGCCCTCAGGCGCTGCAATCAAATTCAAAAACAATATCTTGTCTTCTTTGACTCCATAAGATATCAACACTTCTATAGCCTTTATTGCTGATCCACCAGTCGCTTTATAAATTTTAAAAATGAAAATTAAATAATGTTTCTTTAAAATTAAATATTTTAATAACGGATACTTACCAAGCATTGGATCTAACAACAACACATATCTATTTTCTATACCTGGAGGTAATTTTGCATAATAAAGCTAATATAAAATATATAATATTTATAAAGAATGTTATTATTTGATATATAATGTAAAAAAAAAAAGAATTCGTTCATTACCTTAGGTTGTGCGGTTTCTTCATCACGCTGGATCAAAATCTTTCCAATTCGTACGCTCCTAAACCATTCATATCAGATAAAAAGTCAATGAGTTTTTTTTCTTTTACCGAATAATTAATTATTACGACTACTAATTATTATTTTATTCTTATTCCAAATTAAACAATCCTGCAACATT